AAAATGCCTTGGGGGAATGAAGAGAAATTCCAGGATCAGACCCCATCTAATGGTCTGCAAGACCTAAGCATCTGTTATTATGTCCTCCCATCAGTCTGCAAACACAGCCAGTTGGCCCCCTATTGGGAGATCCTCCAAACAGTCACTTCTGACATGTGTAGGATCGATTGAAGCCTCCTCTAAAGGATTTTCTAGGAGGACATCGTTGGAAGGTCCTATTGGACCTATCCTGCAGTTGGTTGTAGCCCAGCCTAGAGTTAGACTGACGCTGTGAACGGCAGTTGGAGAAACCCCCATCCTGCCCTCGAAAGGGCTGGTGTCTATAGAAAGTAGAAGAATTTCTACTGTCCACTTTGCGGAAGGTCAATTGAAGGACTTTACACTTGTTCTTCGACTCCACTAATACTCCAAACAGACTACCCCCAGAGAAGGGAGATGAGGCCAGATGCCACTTATGTTTGGCATCGGCTTGCCAATTTTTTAGCGATAGTAATTGCCTTGAGGTGACTGTGGAAGCAATAGCTTTTGGGGCAAAGCGAGCTGCATTAAGCGCAGCATCAGCAGAAAACTCAAGAGCTACTTTTAGTTTGTTTAAATCCCTGTGGGCCCTGGTGTTCCTATTTGGAATCCTGCTCTGAAGTTGTTTTAGCCAAAGGAGAGCAGATCTGCTAAAAAATGAGGAAGAAGTGGAAGCCCTAATAGCCCAGGCTGAGGTCTGGTGACTTTCGACAAATGCTTATCCTCAAGTTTGAGGGAATCTTTGGAGCACCAGTGGCTGCATTAGGGGAAGCCAGGGCTACCACTGGCAAATCTATAGAAGGAAGATCTAGTACCTTAACTAGGGCAGGCCCCACATTGTATAGACGTTTATCAAGGGCATTAGGCAGAGGACCAGTGCTAGGAGAGGTCCATTATAAGGTCCATTTATATTCATAAAAATTCTAGGAGAAGGAATGACCTCCTTTTCAACAGTGGGCTCCAGGAAGAGAGGATCTTCAGTGGCAGCAGCTTTAGGAGCTGGGGTAGGCTTGAAACCAGCAATCTTCTTTGCTTTAAACAGCAAAGATCAAAAAAGAGCAGGTTTAAACAAGCCCACAAAGTTTGGTTGATTGGGGCCTAGATCTTCGTCCTCCAAGAGATCTGAATCTCTGTAAGGTTGCTCTTCTTCGTCCTCCACCATGGATTGATCAGAAGGGGCCTTCTGAGAGGAATGTTTCTCTTTGCTCTTAGATTTGGAGCCCTCAAATTTGGATTTAGAACTGTGACTAGAAGATCTCTTATGTTGAGGCCCGCAGCAATGCCCTTTTCAATTGCTGTTGATATGATGGCAGCCACATCAGGGGTTATAGCCGGGGTTGGCTCAAATCCCCAAAAACCCATGGAAGAGGAAGCCTGATCTGCCACCGGAGAAGGCCCTGCCCCATTTATTGATTTACCTCCAGTACCATCTCCTATCTGGGAAGGAAAATCAGGCTCAGAAAGAGAAGCCCGGAGGAGGCTTGTTAGGAGGAGGACTGTTAGGAGAGACTGGAATCACCTGGAAAGGATGAGGACTGACTCTGCCACTGTGTGCCTACTTGTTGGAAGAGGTATTTTGTGATGCAGATTTGGATTGCTTCATCTCCCCTTTTTTGGCTGACTTAGGAGGCTTTGAAGGGGGTTCCTCAGCTGCCGCAGATGCTATCGCCCTTTTTCTTGAAAGCTGGACCAAAGAAGGACCAGCCAAAGGGCTACCTGGTTGAGAGACCTGAATAGAGTCCACTGCCCCATCTCCAGAATTAGAAGCCATAATGATAACCAGGGAAAACAGCCACTCTCAAGGTATTGCTGATAAAGCAGCCCCGTTACCGACCGTTGTCCCAAAATGGCGTCCAATCTCTTTGTGCCAAAATTAACTGCCTCATACTATCTGCTAGCTTAAAATGGCATCCGCAAGTATCCCTGCGAGGGAAAACAGCCAGCAATCCTCCTGAGGCTCAGCAGCTGTTGCACTGCATTTTCCGACAAAGCTGCAGGGTTACCACCCTTGGGCTTGTCACCGGGGCTCTTTCTGGCTTCTCCTGGCAGTCTGTAGCGAAGTAGAAGTGTCAGAGCCTCTCCGCTGCCTGAATGGAACTTCCGACAAGGCTGAAGAGAAAAAAAGCCTCTGCCGCTTTAAAAGTGGCGTTTGAAGCCACGTGGCTGGCTCCGCAGCACGGAACCGCGCCCTATCCAATTGAAAGTCTCTCTCTGCCTGCAATATGTAAGGATGGCAAAGGGTGAAAGAATTTTTTTTTTAGAATAGCCAATTAACAATTTGGAATAATTAAATCAGAGAAGCCAACTACACGTCCAGCCCAGAACTGGCTGAGTCTAAAACTGGGGGAAAGCAGCAAAGGGGAAGGCTTTATAATCCGTAGACTCAGCCCTATTGGTTACTGGACGGAGTTAACCCTATGTGACCGCTGTCTCCACCAATCGTGGAGAATATACAGACAGTGCTTCATTTGGAACTGTAAGGAATTAAAGCACTCACTTACAGAAGCAACCTATGCAAGACCTCTAGAGGATACTGAATGCCTTAGCACAGCGGTTCTCAACCTTTGGGTCGCAACCCCTTTGGGGGTCAAATGACCCTTTCACAGAGGTCGCCTAAGACATGGGTGTACGCTGCCCTCTCCTCTCTGACAGCCGCCTGGTTAAAATGCCATTCCACACAGTGTTTTTCCCTGGGGGGCTCCACAGAACATCCCAAGACTGATGCCATCACATCTGCCCACTTCAGGACAAGTCCTCTTCAGAAGGACGAGGCCCCACTGGTTCCCTTCACTTTCCTCGCCTTCCAGCCCTGGCCCCACGCTGTGGAAAACATATGTGCACGCACGCCCCGCACAATTACAGCCCCGAGCACGACCAAAGCCCCTCTCCCAATTGGCTCTTCCTCCCTCGGAGGGCTTCAGGGGGAAGCTTCTGAATAAGCCCGGGTAAGTGAGAACAAGTTTCCACCATTATAAAGTCTCTGAGGCTGTAATTGTATGGGGGGGGGGGTGCGCCTATGTTTTCCATGGTGTGGAGCCGCGGCAAGGCTCTGGGTGGCAGGTGATGACTCCGGAGCCCATCTGCAGGGGGTAGGGTCCCCCTCACGTTCCTCGTCTTCCCAGATGGGCTCCAGAGTCATCGCCGGCTGCGCTGGGCCTCGGCGAGCCTCCATGCCATGAAAAACACAGGCGCACGCAACCCACCCCACCCCCGCACAATTACAGCCTCGGAGTCTTCGTTAACGATGGGAACTTGTTCTCACTTGTCCGGACTTCTGCAGAAGCTTCCTTCCGAAGCCCTCCGAGGGAGGAAGGGTCAGTTGGGAGAGGGGCTTTGGTCCTGCTCCAGGCTGTAATTACGCAGGGCATACGCGCGCCTATGTTTTCTGTGGTGTGGGGCCACGGCCGGAAGATGAAGAATGCAAGTGGGACCAGCGGGGCCTCGTTCTTCTGAAGAGGACCTGTCCCTGAAGAGGGAAGATGTGGTGGCATCAGTCTCGGGATGTTCTGAAGAGCCCCCCCAGAGGAAAATGCTGCTGCCAGGTACTTTTAACCATATATTTCGGTCCTATGACTGCAGAATGCTGCAAAAAATCATAAATGCAGGCCAGTTGTTGAGTGTTTCAAATGTGAATGGAACACTCAACAAGGTGACCACAGTATGTGTGTCTGTGTGTGAGTGAGAGAGAGAATGAGTGAGTGAGAGAGAGAGTGAAAGAGACAGAGAGGGGGAGACAGACAGAGAAAGACATACAGAGTTGAGTGATTAAGTGAGTGAGTGAGAGACAGACAGACACACACATACACAGAGTGACAGAGAGAGACACACACAGAGTGAGTGATTAAGTGAGTGAGTGAGAGACAGACAGACACACACATACACAGAGTGACAGAGAGAGACACACACACACAGAGACAGAAGGAGAAAGACAGACACAGAGGGACACACAGTGACAGAGATGGAGGGAGGGAGGAGAGAGAGACAGTGATACAGAGAGACAGACAGACA